TTCCCCCCCTTTTTTTTTTTTTAGTAAAAGGACCACTTTTTTTCCAATGGTTTTTCAAGGAAAGTTCAGTTCTTGCAGCTTTAACGCATAAGGAAATGATTTTGCATTCAACAAGAATGACAGTTTGTCTAAATAGAAAATAGATTATTTTCCAAATCCACAAAAATGTTAAACAAGTCATTGCTAGATCATGTGCAAGACCTGTCTTGCACTGTTGCAGCTATTGATGTTGGACTACTGAAGTAAGATATATTTTGATACAGAGAATGGGTGTGGACAGAGGTTCCAGGTTTATATCCCTGTTTCTCACAGCTCAGGGAACACAGTTTCTTTGTAAACCTAAAATGTGTTAAGAATTCATGAACGAAGATCATGAAGAATGTAATTTCAATGTGAGCCTGGTCTTGTTTGATTTATTTGTTTGTTTTCTTACTCTTAAAATAATCTAAGCCTAGTATAACAAAACCAGGAATAAACCACAGTAAATTGGAAAACATGTTACTACTGAAATCTACAGAAAAATTATCTGAGCAAACCACATTGTTAACAATAACATAGCTATTTTTTGTCAATTGCTTCACAAAACTGGATGGAAATCTGATGGCCTACTGCAATGCAGTAGGCATGAAAGTCAACATTAAAATGCCTAGTTATTTGTATTTCTGTGCAAAATGTTAAATGGCTGAAACAAATGACAAAGTCATGCTTATGCCATCCGTAGAATTTAAAAAAAAAAAAGTAAAAATTAGGTGATTAGATGGTATATTAAGTGCAAAAGCTGTTTTCACGTGCTTAGATCTAGATTTGGCTTCAATTTGGATTGAAGTAATGTGTAGAAATCTATCTCCTTTTTTCACCATGACAACAGTCAGGCATTGGAACAGGTTGCTCAAAGAAGTTACGCAGTCTCCATCCTTGGAGATTTTCAAGACCAGGTTGGATACAGCCTTGAGCAATGTGGTCTAACATTATAGCTAATCCTGCAGCAGATTGCACTAGAGACCACCTGAGTCCCTTCTAACCTGAATGATCATATCCTGATATAGTATTGTGGTAGAACGACTACTATTAAGAACTTATAAGCATTTCTGTTTGAAGGTTCATAATCGCTTATTTTCTTAGACAAAATATCCTCATGGTATCAGATAATTTACAAGCAGCTTTCGTTTGAAATGAAACTTTGCTAGGACTGAGTTAGACCTTGGAGTATGATTCAGCAAGGACCTTAGAAATAAGAACAGCTTTTAAATACCTGTAAAGCCCACGATGCACAATTTAGATGGATTTTGGTGCTACGAATTAAGACCAAAGCCTCTATGTTATATGTGACTTTCAAGGTCATGTCCTGTGAGTGCTAAGATTATACTGTAATCAGAAACAAAACATAGGTCAAATTCTTCCCTTGATAAATTATTCTGATGAAATCAATTTCTTCAAAAGTTACCTCATCCCATTTTAAAAGATGCAAAGAGAATTAAAATTTGTCAGCAATACTAAAAAGGAACTAACGAAAAGCACAGAGCAGTACACCTGTAGCATACGGTGCCAAAAGCAAATTTTTATCACATACATACAAAGGTATCAACTTGAACTTATATTCTGCAATTAATTTCATACAGGTAACATAATGCCTTCAATTCAGTTTTAGTTGCAGGATTGGGATCTAGTCCAATTACTAAGACCTACATCATAAACAGTAATGTTAAGGAAGTCTAATTAAAAAAAAAATTATTCTCTTGTGGAATATCTCGAAAAACTGTTGGATAAATCATTATCATCACCTGCAAAAAGACCTGTCTATTTAACTGCAATATAAAATATTTCTCTGGCTCTGAAACATGCAATAAAGTTTGTTGCACAATTTTAAGTCTGTATTTGAATTTATTTCTCAGTTCTAATACAAAACAAGAAAATGAAATTTAACAGCTAATATTTAGTCTTGATATCTTTGGTGAGTTCTTGAGTTATGATAATGTCTTACTATGCCTTGCAATAATAAAAAGATTTTTAAAACAATATTACTATTAACTTAAATACTGATCTTCAGTTGTAAAAGTTCTGTGAGGCAAGTTATTATAATTTTTTGTCATGTTATATCTACTCTTATAAGCATATAATGAGATAAGCTGCAACTTACGGTACAGCGAAATGGATCGAGTTCACACAGATGTTACCTTGGTTCATAATGTATTTGCTTTTATAATTTCCATCCCTAGGTTAAGGTTATAACAGGTTAAAAGCAACATTTTAAAAAAAAAAAGGTATTTTGAGCTAAACTTAAGTTTTCAACTTGATAAACATAGCTGGGACACCTGGAGAATAGCAGCTATTGTATCACATAAGAAGGTATCACAGCAGAGCTATAGTCTGTAACAATTAATGGGAAAAGATACAAACTAACAAAACTGATCATCTGACCCTGCCCAATTCATCTTATGCAGGACCACTGTTGCATCCACGTTACACCATATAAAAAAATTTATCTATTCCACAAAAATTAATTTTAATTAAGTAACATTTTAAAATATGGTAGTACCCAGCATTAATAGGGCTCTTTTTTTAAAATGCAAAAAGGATAGTGCTTACTAACGTATTGCACACAAAAAATAAGGATTTTTTTGCCTTAGGCTAGAGAGTACATAGATGGAAGTTTTCTTCAAGCTACTCATAGCTAAAATCTGGACAAAATAGTACTAGATTACATTTTCCACTTTCCCTGCACAGTGCAGCATTTAGACTTAGGATTTAAGAGCATGTTGGAAATACAGACTACTTAATGCAAGAACAAAACTTTCTAGTATGTTCGGACATTTATGTTGCATGAGATAATACAATCCATCTGTTGGAAAAATCCTCACCATATCTTTTAGTAATAAAGATGACTAGAAATCAAGATTTTTTTTTTTTTTAATCCAAAACTGAGTAACAGTGAGCCTTACACAGAAATATGTTTAGGAACCTGAGGCAAATTATACATGTTAATGTTGGAGTCACTGAGAACAGTTAACACAATGTAATCAAATGTCAACTGGAATATTTTGCAGTAACTTACCGAAGAGGTCTGTGTTTCATGAATATATGAACGCTTGGTTTCTAAATTTTCAACTTGAGATGGCGAAGATTAAGTGCTAAGGGTGTTACTGTAAACGTTTAAGTGAGATGAACATCACTGATTTTCTAATTTTACCACATGGTTTATTTCAGAAGAAAACAAGCACCAGTTACATAGTTCTCCTGCAAGTCAGTAAACAGTCACACACGAAAACTCAATACAATTTGCTTCTTTGTTTATGTGCAGGATATTTAGTTTGGTTTGCAAAGTATTAGAAGAATAACAAGAACCTCCTGACAGAACACCGCAACTAAATTTCTAAAAAGCCACTAAGTTAATCTCAGTGTTGAATCTAGCTGTTTCAAATTATTGTAATGTATAATAACAGTCTTATTGACAATATAGATGCACAGAGCCAAAAAAAGCTAGAAATAGTGGCCAAACAGAACTAAGTGCCAGCCCAAATCACAACAAACATATGGCCATTAACTGAAGAATGGAGGGGTTTAGGAATGCAGCTGTCTGTGGTCTCCTAAAAGTTCCAGAGGTATGAAATGCTGCAAGGATTGGTAAAGTCTGGATGAGAAGTACTACTGAAGATGGTAGGTCCTAAAATGGAGTCAACCATCAGTTCATGTTGGAATTCAGAGATTTCTGTGGTCAGAATATATTCATTCCATTGGCCCCATAATGTACATCAACAAATTAATATTGTATGGATGTCATTTCAAAGCCTACTGAAGGCGAAGAGCCATTATTGAAGCCATTAGAGCACAGATGGTTCAAACTATATGCAGATATTCATACTTGCATTTCTGCATTATAGCTGGGGTTTTTTTTCTGTTGAACTGTAATGAATTGTCTCATAATCTATTCCATCTTCTTGCCATTAGCAGGCTTTGAATGTTCACAAATAGGAGCAAAGAACTCATTTTCCAGAGCTTTAATCACACAAAGAGGGAATGCCTAATTCTCTAAATGAAATGGTCTGTGATCACTGAAGCAGAGATTTAATATATCACGGCAAATTAGGTAGATTTTAATAAATTACTTATCTCACTGAATACTTTACATATGCTTATGAAGAAACATAGCCTGTTTGCAAACAGTGGAAATCCACAACCTATAAAACCCTTTGAAGAAAATGACAAATAAAAAAGTAAATTAAAAAATGAAATGTATTATATCCTCGTTCTCATGAGACAATCCTTTTGCAGCATTGACTCACAGCTCCATTAAAAATATCAATTAAATCCTTCACTGAGATTGGTTAAAAGCTGGAAAATTAACTTTCCAAGCTAGACACTGGTTATTCAGATACAACAATTCATTGTATGTGTTAGATGTAAGTTCTAAAAGTGTCAAAACCCAAATGAAAACACAGTTGCCTGTCCCTACAGCTCAAACTAGGTGAAGCAAAATCTGATACTGTATGGCTTCTTTTTGTGCTTTGACAGATGTTGGCTGAAAGTAAACCTTTTACTGTACAGAAAAATGATAGTGCCTGCCCTCCCCCTACTTCAAATCATGATAATCATAAACAGCTGATTATAATGTTAGTAGAGGGGTAAAAGTTATTTTCAATAAGATTGCAGTAATTTAATAAGTCCTGCAACTAGCCTCATTTTTTATATTTAATTGATAGGAACTGCATGCATCAAAGAAAACACATACTGAGATTTAATGTGCATAAAATGGATATTAGCATTTTAAAGAGGCAGATTAACACATTAATCCAAGTAATTTTCATATATTGCTTTTAATAAAATCTTCACAGTATAAAATTCTTAATGAGGCTAATCACAGGCATTCCATTTAGTGGGGTGATTAGGGATAACATAAAAGTATTTTTAATCAGTTTTCTAAGGCTTATGGTTTTTATTAAAAATTAAAAATTTGACTTGCATTTTTATTACTGTTTTATGTACGAAAAAAATCTTGAAAATGCAAATAAAGCACATCATTCAATCATGTAGGTATTAATTATTTACAAGAAGTTGTCCATTGTGGAGAGATTCTTAGCCTTAGGGGGGAAATATAAAAACAAACAGACTGAAAAGTATACAAAACTTTACAACTACAAATCAAGCGTCCTTTTCATATAAATTATACATTAAATATACTGTAAGAATTACAAAGATCTCATCTTTGAAGCACTATCAAGCATGTATTTACACTGGGAGAAGGAACTTCTGTAGGCAAACTTCCCTTTCATGCCTCCTAGTCATCTTTGCATTCCTCATAGACTGAACGCAGTGCATGGAGGGCTTCCACTGTTACTTTGAGCTTTCCAATTACTGCACTATCATCTTGTGAATCGAAAACTAGAAAGGAAACATCAGAAAACAGCATTAGCTATTTCATTTAAGGTTTTGCTTTTGTTCTGATAATTTTCCTTAGCATTTGGACAGATTAAAAGGCACCTAGCATATGCTTAAAAAGGAGAATAAATAAATAAATAAATAAGAAATCGTCCGGTTCAGGCACTCAGCCTACTGGAAACTGAGTACTCTAGGAACTAGAACGTATATCAATAAAAGTATTAGTGTTGGAATTAACTTTGAAATAAAGAAAACTATCTGTATGATAATAGCCTATATAAATTAATTATTTTTCACAATACGTAAATATAGATGTTCCAAACTCTATTAAAGACATATATGCATACTTATAAATAGTTTTAAGTAAAAAATATACCAATTAGTCCATTTTCTACACTGTGTGTATGACCGGTCCAAATCAGCCTGGACAGTTACTAATATTTAAACAGTAGATTGCATTGCACCAACGGGAAAAAAACCAAGTTATTTTAATTCCAGGCTTCTGTGTGTTGTAAAATAGTGCAGTGTAGACAAAGATGGTATTTCCCCTAGACTAAACTATTTAACTACCTTCATCTTTGTGTATGTGGGTTTTAAAGCAGTATTTAAAATTTCTATTTTACAGAAATTAGCTAACATGATTTAAAATTGCACTCTTTTACAATATCTAAGTAAGACCAGAGGGCCACAATCTCTGCTTCTATGATTAAAAACATGCTGCTAACAGTCAAAAATGAGGCTCTTTCCCAGTCCTGCATAAAAAGCAATGAGGCTGCCTAACATGACTCTAGAAGGAATTTGAATAGAAACAAATAATCTTGACAGCACATCTTTTCAAAGCGAATTATACAGCAGACAAATGGCAAGGTTATGTATTTACTATATAAACTGGGATAAGTACTCGGGGACATGCAACGATACTGCATGATACAAATTCTAGGCTGCTGGGACAGCTCAGAAGAGGTCTGGAGAAGGAAAAACATGGGATAAACCTTCCATCATTTACTTTGTTGATAGAGCTATTGTAGGACAGATTGGATGCTATTCTCAGAGATCCAAACCATTTTGTATGTCCTCGGACAAATCACTCAGTGAACTGTCAACTTAAAGAGCAGACTTCAGGGGACATTATTCTTTTTACTTATAAGAATGGTAAGATAACTGCAATTAATGATATCAGAAGATAACACTAATTCTATTTTCTCAGTTTTAATATTGTCATATTATCTCTGAGACATATCGTTATACGTCTTGTCTATACTCTTTTTCATCCAGCCTCTTGCTTAGCCATTCACTTAATTGCTTCAAATTTCACGTAGGCCACTTTCACGCAATCAGCAATGAAAGGAACAAGATATGGAAAAGATATATGCTTTCAGTCCTCAAAAAGAATGAAGGAAGTTTATGGTATCTAACCTAAGAATTATTAGATCTTCATGTGGTAGCGTCCTATGAATTTCCCTTTTTCTAGGTTTATTCTTTTTCCCCTCAAACCAATATCCACCTCAGAGAATGTGTACAATATTATTTAGGAATTCTATTTATTGTGCCATTACATTTAATTGAAGTCTGTGTCCAGATCTTAAGAACAGATCCTTTTACAATTACTTCATCCAAGAAAATATACTGATATATTCTACTTTTGCCATGATCTGACATATATTAACGTAAAATTCATTTCAATTCTCTGAAAGTTCTAAATTTTCAGAAAATAGGGTTATGGATGCCATTAAAAAAATCTAAACTGTACAGCATCTGCAGGGAAGGGGAGAAGTGTGGATAGGAATAAGAATAAAAGTATTTCTATCTATTACTATAACTTTCATAGATATAATGTACATAGAGTAAAAATTAGTTCAAATGTCTTATGATTGGGGAAGAAATGCTCCTCACAATATTGAGGTAGTTGTCATTACATGATTACCTTTTGACAGAACAACAACTAGTAACAAAAAACAGTCCTTCCTGTCATCATTATTATCTCAGATGACGATTAGGAGTTTTAAAAGTTTTCTGGAAGGTGACTTTCACGGGTACGAAATTATATTTATATCACTAAACAATCTTATCAAATGGGAATTATGACAAAATGGGAATTATGACAGTGGGAATTATGGCCATAAAATCCAGAACAAAAACAATTTTCCAGTGAGAGACTATGAAATACCTTTTTGGAGGAGATGTGCTTTTGTACAACTACTTGGAGAAAAATTATTGGTGGAGAAAAGATTAAGTGGTTCAGCCACAGTAAGAAGTGCCTCAAATCTATATTATTTTTCCAGGGTATGGAAATTTGATTCTTCTTAGAATTTTCCTTATCATGTTCCTGGAACTTTGATGCATACTTTGAGTTTTTTAGCTACAGCATGGATGCAAATCATGCATGATAATGGAAATGGATAAGAAAGCCTCACTACTCAGCTCCCCATCACTCAAGGTATGGTAATTAGACACAGCAGTAGAAGTAGCAAAGTCACATTAGCTTGGCATCCTACTAGGGCTAACTAGAATTCTTGCTATTGCAAAGAGTACCTTGCGAACATGGGCGCACTGTGTCTAGTACTCTAGCTGGTTCACTTACCGTTATAGGAGAGTAACTGTTTTATAACAAGTATTGTCTCAGCTTCTTCACTGAGCTTTACCACAATGGGGAAAGCGGATGGAGAGGAACACGTAAGGAGAAAAATGCACCATCGATAACCATGTCCCTGCTACCTTGGGGAACGAGAGTCTAAGCAAGGAGAATATTTTCCTTCACTGTCTGTGAAAGGACTGAGTAGCCTTCTCAAGTCTTCTTATCAGCACTATAAAAATGCTGCCATAAGACCCAGGAAATGGAAGCTTCCACACCTCCTACTTGCCTCACCTTGCTTTAATGAGTCACAGTGAAAGTTTGGTCTGTTACAGAAGGATGCTTACTCTAAACTGATACCTAACCAAAGCCACCAGTATTTCATATTGTCTCAGATACAGGTTTCATATGGAGGACACAAGCTGGAGGTACTCTGGGGGTTACAACATAACTTCAAATAAGATATAGACATTAGCAATACAGAATTACTGGCATAAATTTTAAAAAGAAAAATATATATTTATAGTCTTACAAGCATGAAGTATGTTATACAAAATAGAGAACTATAGCGAGTGGACATGTCCTGAAAGTTCTTAGGCTTTATAAACTAATTACTATGAGCTGGGAATACTGTTTGGTTTGGGGTTTTTTTTAAAACAGATTTTAAGGAATAACAATAGTACACAGTTTTTGCAGACTTCTGCAAACAAATGTGGAAGCCATTAGTTAATATTAAAGAATTTCTTATTGAAACAATGTCAAACAATTACTTGCACTGTAAAGCTTGCAGGGAAAAGCAGAAATTCAAGAAAGAATTTTTAGGTTACCAAAGGCTACAAGAAAGTAATCTCTACAACTTACTGTCAGTATCTTGCTCAATGATATCTCTTTGCTTCTGGAATATCTCTCTCAAACTGACATAAGCGAAACCGATATCTTCACATTCAAGATCCTGTTCATCTTCTGGGGGATCACTGACCACTGTAAATCGTAGGCTAAGCATAAAAAAAAAAAAAAAAACCACAAAAAACAAACAACCTTCAAAAAGGGTTGAAAAGTAACTAAAAAACCAGAAAAAACAAAGGCAAAAAACATGCTCTATTTTACCACTTAAGCAGAACTCTTTATCAATTACATTCAACATTTTCCATGACAAGAATAGTCTGAGACCCTTTTTTTTAAATCTTTCCTCCTTCTTTAGCATTATTTAGCAGTACTAGAAGGACAGAGAGGTTGTAACCGCAGATCTGCAGACTTACAGAATTGTTTCATTTTTCTCCCCCCTCCCCACCACCCTGTGGCACAATTCTTGTTCATATGGCAGTGACAGGCAGAATAGTCTAAGGATTAAAGACTTTTTCACATTTGAAACTTGTAAGTTTGTTTCGCTCAGCTGCTGAATCTGTTCAGGTCACTTAATTTCTTTCTATTTACCCCTCATAGGTAAAAATCAAGACTGTATCTATGTACTTTGAGGCTTTTCTAGCAAAAGTAATCTATATAAAATATCTAAAAATAGTTAGGGTTTTTTTTCCTGGGTTTATTTATTTGTTTTTTATTTTTACTGTGTTGACCATACTATGCAAATTATTTGATGTGAAGAAATAAAAACAATCCATAAGCAATAACGGAAGGTTTAGATTAAATGTAATTATGTTTTGTTGGTTAAAACCTTTTAATACCCTAAACTTGTTAAAAAAAATTAAACTACTTTATTTCAGTCAGGCCACATAAGATGAACCTGTATGATTATTTCAGCTTTGATGTGGAGTGTGCTTATGAAGTAAAATTTTTCAGTTGTCCCCAGTTACGGTGCTTTATTTGCATAGTAGTCTTGGAACACATTAATTGGATTCCTGTTGGATTGGACTAAACTAAACTGAAGATGTGCTCCAGGAGCACCTACCCCTAATGCACTCCACTGCAATAGACATTTAGTCAGTAGGATCAACTAGTATTCTGAATTCTCAAAATTATCCTAAAAATCTATGTACTGTGAATATCAGACCATTAGCAACAACTGCTTTGTGCTAGAGATTCTCTGGTCTGCACCGCTTGATATTTTAGATCTAGCCTTGGTAAATTTTAAGCCATGCATTTTCTTGGCTTTACATTAAGTGGTGTGGCAGACATGAGATAAATAATTGAGAAAGACAAACCATATCAAACGTTTTCCTGATATCAGAAATATTAGCCATATGCAATGAAGTAAGTATTTCCAAACACCAAGTGTAAAATATTTAGCTCAAAGTTACTGAGAATTTTCACACCTCATTTAGATACTTGGAAAGCATATTCTAGCCAAGAACACATTCCACAAAAAGAACAGGAACCTAAAAGCAGCTCTCTCAAAATAGTATCTTTCTAATGTTGTCTTGTGTATTCATTATTTAAAGTTGGACCTTACACAGCAATGTGTCCTGCACTTGTTCCCTTTGACCAATACATCTCATATTTTATCTTCATTATTCTGTTCCTGTTTTACACATACAAAACTACCCATGAGTACAGCCTGGATGCAAAGGCCTTTGAGTATTTACCGTGCTGTCTAAACACAGTCTGTTTGTCCATCCCAAACATCTAAGCCCAACAACTATACAAAATATTTGCGTTTCTTCTGTGAACTTAAATTACACTCGTTGCATCCAAGTACGGTTTTTCTTTTAAACACATAATTCCAGCATTGTGCTGGAGCTGACTTGAGTTAGTGGCTTGTGTTGGGGCCAAAAACACCGAGACTGACAAAATGACAGGAATTCAGAGCTAACTACTTTTTTGGTATGTCTTGGCAATGTTGCTTAAACTGTGAATGCTTGTGAGCTTTACAGCCTAAAAATGTTACAATAAGCACAGTTCCAAATGAGTAGCAATCAAGTTGCATAAAATCCAAATTTACAGGAAAGGATATCTTAGACAAAATATAATCAAATCTTCCTAAACGACTTCAAACATAACAACAACTGCAATATGCTTTTATAGTAGTTTATTTTTGTGCTTGGCTCTTAGTAACAAATATTTATTATAGAAAATATATACATAAATATTTGTTTGTCATTAAAGCCAGACACCTATTGAAAATACGTGTCTTTAAAAAAAATTTCTGGAGGCAAAAAAGGAAAAATATCACAGCTATTTCCAACAGCAGGTGGCTTGGTTGAGTATAATGGATCTAACTTAAGATTTTGGCACAGGGCTAAGTAGCAGCAAAATTGCCAAAACTCAGTCAAAAAGAAAGAAATACTTAGGTGTGTAAGATAAATATTAAATGAAATAAAAACAAATTAAAAATTGTAAGAATAACTGATAAAACTGTCGGGTATTGGGAAGAGATCTGTTTTGTTATGATTCGGCGTCAATGTTAAATCAATTAAAGAAACCAGCTTAGCAGTTAAGACAGTGATAGAAGATGAGGAGATTAGTGCTGGGTTAATTTTTATCACTTAAGGGTACCAACTACTACTAAAATTTTCACTAAAGCATAAACTAAAAGCAGGCCTAATAACATTTGGGACAGTACCTTATAGCCAAAGAGGAGAGTCGTTCATACTGGTCCACTTTCTGGTTCAGATCAATATGCAAGTATTTTACATGAATAGAGCAAGCTTCAACAAAACAGATCAAAAGAACTGCACCTCTAACACCTTATAGTTCCAATATGCCTAAAAGATCATAATCTTGGATTAAATCTTTGCTGCTAATCAGGAAGTAGGAGATTTGAACTCTGGATCCCATGGGAATACTCCAACTAGTAGACTGCAAGAATGGTACCACAATCACTTTGACTTTTGTATTATTTAAAAATATTACAAATGCTTTAAGTTTAGAAAATATTTAAATATGATATTCAGTATGCTTTAACTTGTTTTCTTCATTTACCAAAAATTGCAAGAATTTTCTTTTCAAGTTGAACTGGCTAAAGAGACACAGTTTACATTGCCTTGGAACATACTGCACATGAAGAGACTCCTCACTCTGCTTCAGCATAGAATGCACAAATATGCAGGTAGTGTCCCATCTTACCTTAACACTGCTTCACTTACGTAAGAAACTTTGATGGAAGTTGGAATATCAAATTCATACTAGGATTTCTTATGTAAATAAAGCTATGTATCGCGTTCCCCTCCCGTACTTCTCTCTAGGATCCTAGACTTTCTCTCTAGCTCATTTCCACATTTCTTTTCTATAACACCAGGTATCACTACTCACTTCCTTGCAGGAATCCCGTGCCTACTGACAGAATAAGAAGAAATCTTGACATCCTGTTAAAAGTAACGCGTGGGAAGATATCTGCTAGCCACTGCAAGAAAGACTAGAGAACTAAATGAAACTTGTCTGCTAATAAAGGCCCAAAAGAAAAGATAATAATTGCCTTAAGCTTAAAACATGCTTTACAATGAAGCAGAAAAACCTGGAAAAAAATATTTATTGTTGTTGTTATGATAACACTTAAAGGTGTTATCACCAGCAGGGAATTTAGAGTGCCTGGACAAAGCTGTGATGTAGACAAATTTGATTCTAATTCTTTATTCCAAAGATCAGTCATTTTTAAGCAGCAAGGAGAAAACCTTGTGTGTTAATATAGTATATTAATGTGAAGCTAACACGGTACACGTGTTCTATACTCCTATAATGTGGATGCATAGATTTTGTTACTTTGGAGAACAGTGACTTCATATAGTCAGTTTCTTGGAGTAACAATCATTTCCTACCAAGAAATGACGCACCTGTCAGGATCAGCCTGGAAACCTCTTGCATAAACCTGTTCACTCTTGTTATCACAGCAGGGTGACTGTTAGAAGAATGGATTCCTCCATTCTTCACATATGTCTCTTTTGACACTTGTCAGAAGAGCATATACTCTATCGCCAGGTCTGCAAGCACTGCAAGTACGAGCTGGCATGAGGAATCAAGTTTCTCTGTATGACCCAAATTTCTACGCTCTTAAAACGCTGAAAGGCAACAGTGGAATACAAACAGGATGAAGAATAAAAGATAACTATGACACAGTTACAGTAAGTTAAATGGACTGCCAGAAATGCCTCCTGTTATTAACCAATTAAAGACTCGAACATGTAAGTAAACAACTATTGGGTTCAGATGATAAAATAAAATAATAATTCTGTATTCCCCCCCAGTTTTACAAATATTAGTAAGTATAGCTTCCTAACATAAATTAAGAATGCAATTTGAATCCCTATTATACAGAAAAAGAAACAAAACAAAAAGGCTACCCATGTCACACAATACAGCTATAAGAAAAGGCAAGTATTCTGGCAAAATTTCCATATTAATGATACAGATATTGTCTGTCCAAAAACACAGATAAAGACAAAGATCCTTGTCAAAAGAGAAGAACCATCTTTGTGGTATGCAACAAATACTAACCTAAATAGGATTTCAAACAGTCTTCCTAGTCTCCTACTACCTCATGCTCATATATTTTAGATTTTATATCATTCTATTTAGCAGCATATTTCCTTGATTTTCTTGAATACTGAATATTTTTGCATTTTCTGCTACTAAAGCCATTTATTCAAATGTGGAACCAAAATCAGCATTTCTAATAAACACTGACAATGATTCCATATCAAGAAATGAAACTGAAAGAAAAGAAAAATCAACTTTGTTTTGAAATCTTATCTTTTAATGAATAGTAAACCCCACTCCCAACAAATAAACATAGTTTCCCATATAAATGCCATGTCAATCTACATTTATTTGTAGGTATAAACTAAAAGAGTGTAAAGCTGTGAAATTCATTATTTTCAGGGCAAAGTTGGCTCCTATTTCAACTATAGGATTAGGCTATAGTTGCAACTTTGGCTTAGCAGTAATTTTATGTATTATATTAATAACTCTTAACACCTGAGAATATTTATCTTTTTTAAGGGACATTCATTAATGTGACTCTCCTTTTGGAAGACAAAAATAGCACATGATGTATCTATCTATTTATGTTCTAATATGGACCCAATCATTATGAGTATAATTTCTAACAACATTAATTGTGACAGGGAGAAAGTTCACCTGAAAACTTAATACAGCACTTAATATACATAAAACACTATCTATGCTCCTATAATCTGGCATAGCAAACACACCAATAAAGTGTCAGGCTAAACCATGTGCAGGCAATTTTCAATGATGTTTATATTCTTGATAATTTGGTTTCCTGAGCTTTAAAGCATTAGTTCAGTTCAGTTCCTGTTTCAGCTGAAAAATCTCTGATATTAGTTTGTAAGGCTTGTGATAGAAAACATATGTTGAAGATATAACTAGGCCAGGTTTAAAATGCATAGATTTGAAAACATTTGGTGTATAGGCAGAAGCTTTCCATAAATTTTGTGTCTTGGTGGTCCTCTTGCTAGGCTAAAGTGGGGAATTGGACTACTGATGAACTTCCTGCCTTGCTATTTAGCCAATGCAGAATTGAAATTTCACCACAGACTGATAAATGCAGAACACAACCTACCTGGTGACACAGAGGACAGTACCACGATGGCACACGTAAAAGATGAATGCTTTTGTTGTGGGAAAAAGCTCGCTGCTGTTATTTTACCTTATTTTTTCCTCAGGTTTGTTAAATATTTAGTATAGATATCTAAGTATTCATAGGTGAAATTGAAGCCTACAGACTAACTATTTTGCTTCGCTGAATTATCCCTCAGGAAAAAAAGAATATTTTGTCCTCAGTATTGTTAAATTCTTAGTAGAACGCGTTACCCACTTTCCCAATCTAGATGGTAAAATAAGTCTTCTGCTTGCTTTTTAAGTGAAGACTTTTTTTTTTTTTTTAATCGCCAAACCTAAGAATATTTTGGTATGATATTTCCGTCTCAACAAGTAATCATTTCATGGTGTTCCCTCCTCCATTCCACTAAAACCTGTTTTCTGGCCAAGACGTCAAACTCAGCTTTAGAAGGGAAATGGAACGAAGAGAGATCACTCTCTTACTGCAGAGTGAATCTGTGATTTGTGAATAAATACATATTTAAAGGATTTACAAGTAACTCCTACACTTCAAATACAATCAGCAGGTATTCTACTCTTCTGCAACTTAAATGAATCTTTAAATTAATAGTTGTTCCATTTCAATGAAGATTGACCTTCAAGAGGAAACAGAATCAAAGTATGTCATTCATTCTCTCAAAGTAATGCGTATGCTATCTCAATCAAAAATTTTGAATACGAACAAATTTATTATTATGAGCTTGGACATATGTGTACATATAATAGCTGCCTGCTACATCAAAATACATATATAGGTTTTTGGAAATTCTAAGGCCAAGGAACACCTTCTGAAGCTGTTACGCTCCTTTTAGTACTCTGAATTCAGAAAGCAACAGATGTATTACTCTACCATCAGGTAGATATTTGCTTTTCAAATTCATTATTGATAGAATGCTGATGATAGAATCTCTCTCTTGCAAAACGAGGTGGTTAAAAAAACCAAAACAAAACCCCAGCACTAAAACAACATTAAGAGAGGTTGATATATTCCATGCCACATGAACCTACTCAGGGAAGAAAGGTAGATCAATCACGACATCAGAATGTAGGTATCATTCCTAGCTGAAATAAAATTTTCTCTAGTTACTTACTTATGTACTAACTTCTCAGGGATACCTCCTCAATAAAGTCAAACAACAAGGCAAACCATAAGCATTATTTACAAAGACCTTTTATAGAGTTTTTCAGCACTAATACGTACCTGTCAGTATGTAGATCTGGCTTTAGAAGCATAGACTTGAGATACTCTCTTCTTGCATGATTATTTGCCTTATCCACATGTATCACTGCAAAGCAAATCAGAATTAATATTAGTTATCAATTGTTTTTCATCTTTTAGAATAAAGAGCATGAAGAAAAGAACAAAGAAAAATAAACAGTTTTTCCCTTGTCTTTCCTAAGGAAAAGCAACAATGTTGGAATCAAATTTGAAAGGTCATGTGATCTAATGGCGTGTCACTGGCAGGTTTATGTGCACACTGTCAAAAAGGATACAAGCAGCATCTAAGCATGCCACATAGCTGTCATTTTCTGTTAATGGCAATAGCAGTCATGATTTTAAAAGCCAGTGGTCTTTATTGCTTTGTATTTGAAGTGATTTACTGCATTTTCTTCCACTGAGGAAGCTAGTGATAATGATAATGTATGGCAGAGTGCTTGTCCTTTTTGACAGCCTCAGTAATTTAATCCTCCTTTCCTGCCACAATATTTCAATAAGAGAAACATCTAGACCAATGGACTGGAGAAAATCCACAGCCTGGGGAGTGTGTGTGAGTGCTCTGAAAGCCTTTTATTGTTTTAATTTAAAATAGAAACACAAGGACCAGCTTTTAATTTTTGTACCATTAATATGTCCTAGTGAAAAATAGCCTTGGTTTGGAAAAAACAATAAAAGAATGAGAAACAGGGTTTTAGGAAATTCTTTAAGAAGTTTTTGGGCATCTTATATTAAGAAAGTAGCTGCTTTCTTGCAAATGGTATCAGCCTACAAGTATCACTAAACTACTGTGAAAGATTATAAAAAAAATCAGGATTGCGAAAATTGAAAAAGTGTTAAAGGAATTACTTTTTTTTTTGTTAAAGTAAGAAATGCAGCTGAAATAATTTTGCTAGGACAGAACTAGAATGAATATAACCCTCTGAGAAACAAACATAGCTCTTAGGAACATTTTTCATTTGTATTTGAGGGCAGGAGGAGGAGCTGGAAATTCGTCTGTCTTTAAATTCCAACATCTTTAATATTCACTCTCTTCTAGTTACTCTGCCACTGTACTCAAAAAAGGTCTTTTTCACTCTCCACATCACATTAAGGTTTCCTTTTCCTATGTGCTGACAGAAATCTTTAACATATTTCAGATTGTCTTCTACTATCCAAAATAAACTTATTTGTATAAACAGAAATTACCAATTCTACCAAGGAGCAGAGAGTATTGGAATACAGGAGCTACGAAAGAGAGATAAGAACATTCAAATTAATTCCTTGCAGAGGGATTTATTGCGGGACATATCTCTATAAAAATCCTAGGAAGCACACCTTCCAGAGCTACTGGTTCTCCAGTTTTCTCCAAAGCTGCTCCTCAGCTCTTAACTGGCCAGCAGAATTGCTATTAGAAATCACTTACTTTCAGAAAACAGCCAGTACAATTGGTATCTGAATCATTCAATCAAAGGAATTGGCAATTTAACACCTTTTTCTCTACTAACAGAAAGCAAGGTATTGGTGGTCTATCTTGGAATCCTTAGTTTCCACCCACAATATTCTTACTTTGTTAGACAGGTTAAAAGAAGCTGTTACTGCCATCTGCTATTCTTTTGGGCATGTGGATGACTTTCCACATGTGCTACTCTCATGGCCAAGTGCTCCTGGGGCCACCACAGGAAGTGATGGGGAGGCAGCAGGGAGACAGATGGACAAGCAAAGAACTTCAAAGGAGCTGCCACATCAACAGATTCTTCCCTTTCCCATAAGCATCCCAAATGGAATTTCCTAAGTTTACTAATTCTGTATCTAAAACAATTTTAAATGGAAATTATTTACAAACCTAAAGAGTTCAAATTCATTTCACTCAACGGAAAAATGCAGACTAGCAAGTAAAACATTCAGCACAAAAATTCCATTCAAGTCTGGGGAAAATGATTAACCATAGTGAAAATATATTTTTAGATCCTGATGAATAACATGCTTTCATATCACCCCTTAGTACGGCCTGAACTTCGAATTATAACATTGCTCCAAGGCACAGAACATCTCATATTTCTAGCCAATTAATTGCAAAAATCATTCAAAATTAACTTGTGACAGTTTGCATCTAAAATTATAATTTTAAAATTTGTCCTAAAGAAGCACTAAACCCTGAAGATTACAATGACCCTGGAATCTCGTTAAAAATCACTGCAATTCCAAACATTAACATAGCTGGTTCTGTTATAGCATATTTTTTTCATATTTCACTTTCTAACAAAATTAAATGACTACGTGATGAAGCAGAGTTCATCACAATGATGAAGAAAAAATGCCTCGCAGTGTTGAGCTTTAATGGAGAAAAGGAATAAACACAAAGAAGTGTAATAATGTTATGTGATGCAAGGCCTTAACATTTTCATTTGAGTTATACTCAGGAATCCACCTTTTACAATATGGATCTTCAGAAGTTTTTTTTTTTAACAAAAAATAAACCCCCACCTCCCCTTCCTTTGGTCTACTTACATTTGTACTTCAAGTTGTTCAAATAACTACCCGTTTACTCAAGAAAGCTTTCCGACTAAATTTCATATAAAATCCTTGCAAAATTTCGTAAATCTTTCTTCTACTTCTGCTACCTGTTCACTAGAACCACTGCATGCAGAGATAAAGACACATTTCAGACCTTCTATCAATCTTGCTTTCTAGCGACTTTCTTGCCATCTCAGCATTTTCATAGTTAAGTCTTCATATTTAATAAAATATAAATGCTTTTTGTTAATAACATTTATGAACTAACCTTAGCTTTGTAATTTAAGTAATTGTGGCCTTGACAGGAAAAATATTTATTTTACTCAAATTAAGAGTCAAATACCAATAGATGCATTTATATGTGAGGGAGACCAGGCTTTGTTTGCTTGAAGCAACATGTTTCCTTATGTTTTTCTGACAGTGAAACTGCCATTACGTTCACTTTAAAGCATATATTGTGACATGACTGGAAATAAATAATTTCTGGTACACAATTTTAAACTGCATTAAAAAGTTAAAATATGAATTCATTGCTGACTATGATCTGCAACACACCCTAACATCAAAACCAAAGCATACCAAAACTAACCCCATCAAAAAAATCAGAATTCTTCCTTTTTACCAAATTACAGGACAGAGTCATGGTGTGAGCACAATTTGGCAAGTTTCACTTTTCTTTGAATTTATGGGACTGTAGTGTTCTTGGATATTCTAGTAACTCCACCACTAACAAACACAACAGCTCCTCTCCTCAGTCAGTATGGCCATCAGTAGCTATAACACTTAATGTCATGGGAAATCAAGAGTTATGTGGTATAACCCTAGAGTGTATAAACCTCCCATTCAAGTTTCTGTTCCAAGACCTTGGAAGAAAGAAAATTATTTTCTAACCATTCCTAGTTAAAAACTCATAGTCAAAATAAACAATCAATGTCAAGTTACATGCTCTAACCACTTGTGAAAAAGGAAATTCATAGGATCTTGTATGTCCAGATCAATGGAGTTCTACTGTATTGTTTTTCAACAAGATTCCGTTAATCTTCCTGTATCTTACATGTCAAGCAATGACAGTGAAGGATGTGCAAAAGAGATGTAAAAACTTCAAATGTTTTTTAAGCAATGAATGTCATGGAGCCTTCTGTATCAGTTAAGATGTTTTTAAAACTGTCAAGCTGTTCCAGTTATATATAATATAAAATGCTTTATTTATAAGAACTAATGATTTTTTAGATTACTTACGGACTTACCCTGATTTTCTCCATGCAAAAATCTAGAATACTATTAGTTTCCTTCTAAGCTCAGAGTAAACTTCTTTCTACCCATGCAAATCTCATTTTTATTGAAGAAAATATTCAATTAACCTCAAATATTCAACATACTCAAATCTAATTAGACATGAATAAGAGATGCAGTAAAGCTATAGTAAACACACTTGCAGATTTCATTACTATTATCTTACTGGCTTTCCACCTGACATTATCAAAAAGCAGACTCATTAGGTTTTTCCCCCCCATAAGCAAAACTAATCTTGAGTAGAAATTAGATGACTAATTATCTAAGCAAAACTCTGCAAATAACAACCACATTAGTATTATGCTGCAGAATACAGTCCTGAAGCAATTAAGACCAAAACCACCTTTTGATATTGATTCGTTAGGATATTTTAACGTTTAAACAGTTCTACATTCGATACTTAGGCAGCAAATAGAAAAATCAAAGTTATGGAGCCAGGTTTTGACTAGCAGAAATAATATGATACAACGCTACCGTACTGGAAAGCCTTATGAGTTGCAGTGGCTACAAAGCATGATACTATTTTCAAATTGCACAGCTTGAAATATATTTGTTTCATAATTAAGAGTCTGAAATTTTAATTCTGTAACTTTGCTGCATTTTGTTAGTTTAACTTTGCAGAGTCAATACTTAAAAAACTAATATTATGCTTAGACCGTACCCAATATACACAGGAATCAGAATGTCGTGTAAGAATTTTTATACCTTCTGAATGCTTCTCATATTCAAAGCAACGAGAATTCAAGAAGCAAGAGAAATTAAGAGTGTTAAATAGCTTTTATTGGCTTATGGTATTACTTCAATGAGGTTTTAAAAATCTATTTCAATTATGTCTGCCTGTCTGGAACATTTGGAAAAGTGTTTACAGCAGCTAGCAAGATGAATATTGTTCAGCTCATAAAAGAGTTCTTACTTAGCTGATGTCTCATTTAGTATATGATGCCAGAAATCCCATTTGTTTGAATGGAAGTAAGCCTCAGTGAATGAAGGAGTTTGCAGTGCTGTTAGTTTTTGTGGTTTTGTTGTTTTTTTTCCTAAAGCCTTACAAAAATTACTGTCTTTCTCAGAGTCACAGAAGTTAACACATTGGGCCCTGTCTTCTGTATTCTCTCTCAAATGGGCTGTCCCACTACAGTGATGGTTAAGGTTGATGTGACATCTATGAGGGCTTTCAGTCTTCAACTATGGGGTAATCCAATAGTTTATCAGTATTAGGACGATACAAATGAATAAATTATTTGGCAAGTCTCCTTCTAAAAATCAGGCTTCTAGAGGGTAGCAGTTTTAAAGATCTGACTGTGACACCACTTTTGCAAAGCCACTTTTACAAAATTATTTTTAAAAGAATGCTTAATTTGAATGGTGTGTCACAAATTAATTAATGGTGTGTCACAAATAGCAAACTGATTCACCTGCTCCAGGATACTCTCAGCTAAAAGTGCAGTACTTAAAGTCCAAGACAACATGAAGCACTCAGACTGAATCTTAAATGAAACAGACTTTAACAGAAAAAAAAAAAGTTAATGAATAATTGAAATACTATGAAATAGCTGGGAAAATAATTAACAAGAGAATTATCAATTATTACAATAGTTCTGTGTATACCATTAGTGTAAATTACATTGTGTATTGACATAAAGTGTTTTCAAATGTTCATTTATTAGATAATAGCATATGGAACATGCAGGATTAAGTATTATGAAGTAAATAGCAATGTATTAGTATTAAACATGGCTGAATAATTTCCTATTTCAAAAAGTTCTTATTAAAGGAACACTGAGTATTCCCAAGTGATGATCAAGTACAATTACATATTTTCTCTTTTCAACTGTATTTTAGTTGTACATGTACATTGGAACAGGCTCTGCGCAGGGAAGTGGTTGAGTCCCCATCCCTGGAGGTATTTAAAAGACGTGTAGATGAGGCGCTTAGGGACATGGTTTAGTGGGCATGGTGGTGTTGGGTTGACGGTTGGACTCGATGATCTTAGAGGTCTTTTCCAACCTTAATGATTCTATGATTCTATGGTTACAGGGAATGTTTTTCTTCTGCTGTATCATCATGTACCGATAGAGGAATCGGTTCATCATGTTCTTTTAAAGAGAATATATAAATTTTAGTTATGTATAGCCTAATTTTAAAATTTATGTGCTAGCAACATATTCAAATATATTGTAATGTTACCATTTCATACACAAGCCTACTTCAATAATTCATTTTATACTTGAAAATTGTATCCTTACCTCATTCCTTAAAAACAACCTTTAATATTTCCCAAAATATCTGGGAAATAGACAAGTACAATCGGTACACAGATAAATGCAACTATAATATATAGAGGAAGTAGGCTTTATTGGCAGGCATTTTCATAAGACAGAATTTAAGAGAAGAAACGAGCCTGCTCAGGAATACATCATACTTACCATTGCTATAGTTATAGTGAATCCTCTGACCACTTGTTGGTTTTGGAAGTGACAGTGGTGTCTCCTCTGCAAGGAAATTGTATAATCTGCATTCTACAAACAGCTGCTGTACTGTTTCATCTGATGCAATTCGTGACTCAGTAAGAGTGAGTGATATAATTTCAATCCGGATTTTTTCAGTTGCCTATTTAAAAAACAAAGCACAAGCATAATACAAATTATTCTGTGTTTCTTGAAGTGTTAACACAAACCAACCAACCGAACACACATGTAAATCATTGGCTATTTTGTATGATTAACACTGATTGATTGATTTTGACAGACATAATGAGATTCTAAAGCCCCAGGGTTTGTAGTTAAGAATATTGCAACAGATACTGATTTACATTCAGTGTTGAAAATATTTTTGCAACAGTCATACTCTGCTGGAGAAGATTAGGTTAAGGTTATCTTCATGTACAAATGACATCTGAACCACAAATTTCAGTTGCCATTATTTTCAGCTACACAGCCAAGTGATTTGTATCTTGATGCTGTAACTGCTTGAAATAGTCTCAGTAATACTAGGTACCAAACTTTTTCAAACGAAAGAGAATTGTTACTCAGTGCCTACTGCAGACTATACTACAATCAGTTCAATAAAAATCCATCAAGTCACAAAGTAGTTAGGCATATAAAGTAACACAGTATTTATACAGAATTCAACTTCATATACTGAACTTTCTAGTTAAATCAAATATACATTTAAAAGTTAAATTAACAATATGACAATAGAAGTAATATCCCAATTGTTCTTCACCAGAGCCTTTTCTTATTATTTTTAACTAAACTGACATTTTCCTGTTGCTTATATGAAATTGTTTCATAGTGTTCGGCAAACTATATTATTTACGTACAGATAAATTTTAATAAGCTTTATGTATTTAAGTGGGAATGTCAGACTTGACAGTGTCACAAATATTTCCCTAGGTAACTCTGTAATTCAAAGAAAGAAAAGCCACTATGGTTTCAAAATTGGAGTACATAGGCAAGCATTCAAAGATGAGATTCTTCAAAGAGCAAACAGAACATGCTGGAGTTCAGAAATGTCAAAAAAAAATTTTTTTACTTCTTTCTTTTCAAGTTCATAACTTTATTAAAAATATTTCCCCATATGGAAATATTTTGAAAATTTTTGATTGTAAACTTAAATCACTTGAAGTAATAAATTATATTCAAAAGATTAGCTTTCTATTCTAGATTCAGTGTTAGAACTGCAAGCCAATATTCTAATTTATTATGGAGATAGCTTATATTTTTCCGAGCAAATTATATAATTAAACTGAAAAGCAGGTGTATCCTATTGTAAAAATATCCATCATATAGAACAATTTCCATTGCTGTCAAGCCCTTTCAATATTTGATGAAGTAATTTTACCCCCTCCTTTCAAAAGACATTTCCTTTTATTATGTATCCTAAGACGCTTTAACTAAAAACCCAAATCTGAATATTTCAATAAGGTTGTTTTATTATTCAGTAGATTCATGGAAATTTTACTAGGATGACAGAGAAAATTCCACACCATTCTGTCTCCACTAATACAGGTACATGGCTTCAGCTGGCAATATTACTGGGATTAGCATAGAATGATGAAATATTTAAAGGAATTTTTTTTTTCTAAAATCTAATAAATCAAATGACTGCCAAATGTCATTAAAGTGATGGTCTTTGACTTGAATATGCTTTTCATATTCAAATTTGAAAAGAAAGAGATGAAAGCCTGGAAAGGTTACTCAGTTTCAACTAATAACCTCAAGCACTCTACATTCACATGCATAAAAAATGAAATTGGCTCTATTGTCTAATTTTACTTCAGAAACAACTCTTTTCTTCTTGCACTGAATAGATGTATTAGCATCTGTATTTAAAGTGATATGCTGAGTGGTTTTGTTCGCCCCAAAGTATTTAGGAGCTATGTCAGACTAGTTTGTACACAGACAGTAGTTTATGAATCAAGTCCAAATACAATATCCTGTATTATAAAGTATTCCTTTTACATATCTTAAAATTTGTTTGACATTTTTAACACTTGTAATTGCAAGTAGGCAAAGAATATTATAGTTTTTCAAGGATAGCAGGGTAAATCCAGCTATTCTGCTTTCTAACATAAGGAAGCAAATAACTGAGTCATATTATCAGAAAATTTTAAGAAAAGATAATAAATTACTTTAGAGCTTAACAGTCAAGAATATTTTAAGGCCTGGTTTTATTAATATTAAACATGAATACAGCATATATAAAGGAGAACACAAGCTGATTAAAAAAAGATATTTACAAATAAAAAATCTAGAACTGCCTAAGAACAGCATAGCTAGCATGTCATATTTCACTATTAATGCAAAAACGCTCGTATTATGTAGCCATGCTGAAAATATATGTAGCATCCAAAATATGATAGGAATTAATTTTTAAACAACCATTTATATTTCTATGATGCAGAGTGAAGTATGTTATTTAAATATTTTCCTAAGTTTTTTTTTTTTAAACCTTGGTCTCATTTATTAGGTACTATTCAAGTGAAAAATGGATAGTTTGTCATGACCAATCACTTCCCACAAATCATTCTACTTTGATGGGAATAAAATTAGTCTTTAAATTTAGTATTTAGAACAAAATATAATATGAAATTTCCTCTAACAGAGAGACTGGACACACATATTAAAATGAAGAATACTAAATGCTTTCAAAGACTGTCTCTGACAAACTGGTTCAATGCCTTCATTTCAAGTGAGGAAAACAAAACATGGGCAAGATACTTAGTCTGTGTCAATGTTCTTTACCATTTAATATTGACTCTGTAATTAATACTACCCAGAGATTTGGAAGAATCACTGAACTCCTTCAACAAGGTTTAGGATTAGGTTAAGTACTAAATGCATTGGACATTACATCAGAATTTGAAGTCTCAACATAACTTTTCTCATCTTTCTGATTTCTGAGATTAAAACCCTTTTTTAAAATTCCATAAAAAGTCTTAACTGCCGTCTTCAAGAAGCTGCATATTCCATATTTCAATTTCCTTTTTGGTCACAATAAAGTGCTAAGACTTTGATGTGAACAATAAAACTCCAGTTGACCCAAATGGCCCACAACAGTCTCCCACAGAATTGTTTTACAAAAAAAGAGTTTGTGCTTTCTGCACAGAACAGCAGCACTGAAAATGCCTTGCTTATAGGAACAATGTAAACAATGTTCCTATTTTTTACATCCATAGTTTTAACTAATATATTGTCCTTGAAAAACTCAAAATAAAGGAAACTTCTTAACCATAAGATCAACTTGAATCCTATCTTTACCAATGCTCAAAAATATTTATGCTTTACTCCCTAATTTTTTTATGTATTTATTTCCACAGTCCACTTATTCACTTGTTCCCTTCTATTTCAAGCAGAGAGCACATCAGATAAACTATAAGCTATTGTCCAGTAATCACAAGTAAGCATCCATTTGCTATCAATACTTCAATCACTATCAATATTACCTGATTGACAAATATATTTATTGAATGAGAAATCATCCTCTTCCTCTATCAAGTGCCAAATTCCTGTGACCATCCTATTAACAATGTCAGAACAGAGCTGCAAAGGAATGCTATCACAGGAATGTCAATCTAATTTAACTGTTCAGAGACAAAAACATTACTCATTAAGTAATTACAATTAACAGGTCAACATCTTACATATACACATAAAAATACATATTACAAAAAATTATTCTAGTCCTTAACTGTACGCAGTGACTTTTCATGTTAGGAATAACATCTTCTATTTTAAGATTTTCCCCACAATGGTGTAGATGTGAGAATAGAAGGAGGGATACGGAAATGCTCCCTGTTCCTTCTCCACATGCACTTTAGACTCTCCTAAGACCTAGGGCAAAGAGATCTCTCCTTGTTCAATAGCTCTTTTGGAGTCGGATTTACTGTGAAGGAGGGAAAGGCACATATAATCTTCCCCCGGCATCACTGTTTTTGCCATGTGCTAGGAGAAGAATGCAATGGCACAAGGTTACCACCATAATAAGGTTTGATGCAATCCCTTCAGCTCTGTCTAGAATTACAAACACACTAAACAAAGTATCTATTTGTGACAATGAGTACATCTCTGGTTGCTACCATTTTATCTAGTGCAGAGTCCAAATTCATCATTTTCAGAGCATGAATTCATCTTTAATATCTTCAAAGACATGAATTATTGCTACAGCTTGAGACAATTCAATGATTAGCTATTGCCTCTTCTCTGCAAATCTGTAACATACCCATCAATGTATTGATTTTTTTCAGAAAAGACAATTTCTAATTCAGTATAAAACACCAAACATTTTGGAAAATACCAAGTTCTTGAGGGATGTGAAGCTTTCCCACCATGACCCTGACAACTATACATCTGAACTTAAAGTCACATTTGCACTTTGCTCATAATACAACTTTTGATCACTTGAATAATTTACTCTCTTCCCTTCAAGAATAAACATGAAATTGTTCAATGTCTCTCCTGAAGTTGAATTGTTTTTAAAGGTTTGGTTTTGCAACTTGCCTGTGACACTGCCTCAGCTAACAGCTTTTAAAGATAAACTTTCTAGGGAAGAATAAATACAAAAAAGCAGACATATCTGGAGCTGTCTGACTGGTGAGATACAAACTTCGTTAACTCTGAGTTTTATTTTCTCCCAAGAAGTGGGGAAGGCTACATAAGCAATATTGTTACAGTCCTGAACTAAGCTACACCCCTCTCTACTGCAGACTATCTCAAATAGGAGACTTCATTTTTTTTTAGTGTTTAAACAACACTTACAATTGATTATACCACCAGATAAAATAAAAAACAAATACCAACTTTATCAAATCTCAAAGCCAGTTAGCTACATCAGTACCAACTAGTCCCACAATTAAGTAATTCAAATGCTCTGTAAACTTACAATTACGTTTCATATCAAAAGGAAGCATGATCCTTAAGTAAATAAGCATGAAAGAAAATTTTTCAATAAAAAGAGGTCTTACTCTGTACATTTCCAGTATGCTAGAACACATCAACATTTAAGTGACAGAAGTAGAATCAAATAAGTAGCAGTATTATGTAAAAAACTAAACAAAGACAAATATAATAGGATTTCTGCTTTTGTATATATCTATGCATGCATTTTTCTATATGTAGATCATAGACTTCTGGTTTGATTTAAAAAATACATCAAATTTTGAAAATCTGTATTTGAAAGTTAATCCATTTAGGAAAAAAAACCCTTAGTATGGGAAGAAAGCAGAAGTATCAGTATAGTATTTTCATTTAAGAGTGCACCTGTAATGAAAAAAAAGTATCAAATTACACATTTTTAATACAGCTGTTCTTTTTATTTAGAGCTTTAATACTTAACATTTGATACTGTGTGTGTTCCCCCCTGCCATTATAGTATTGTGTGGGGACAATACAGACATGCAAAAATGAATGGAATTTGATTCTCTCTCATATTACCCACAGTGTGGGGAGGAAAAAAAAAAAAAAAAAGCTTGGTGATAAATATCGCAGCTAATCAAAACTCAAGTTTAGTCTCAAATCCCATCCTTTGCTTTTTAGACCTCCAGTTAGAAAAATATGCCTTTCTACTTCTAAAGTCACCATAACTTACTTCCATGTCAATGAGCTCTAATAAATATAGTTTCTCAAGTAAGCAACTGAGGAGCATTCATATTCATAACCACAAAAAGTATTACCAGCTAGGTTAAAAATGGCTCCTGTTGCTTTTCCTGTGGGCTTATGCACTTAGCCTTAAGTCTGACTTTCAACTTAATTTAATATTCTGATTAATTAGTTTTATTTGTTACCTAAAAAGTAATGGGTTACCTAACGACTTAAGATTCTCTTGTTTTGAATAATTTTAAAAGCTGATGTTTGGGGTTTTTTTGGTATTATTTCTCCCTCTTCTTTCAGTTCTTCCATCAAGAAGAATGACTTGTAGTACATGCTTCTAACTATTACTTCGAAGTATATTTGACAAGTGCCAGAAGTTGTAAATCCATCATTTCAGTGTACTGCCTATTCAAACTACTGTCATCTCAAACTTTACCAGTGGCAAAAGACAACTTAGGTCTTTCCTGTATTCTTCAAACTTTCTCACTTTTACTTTAGTTCCTGTCTAATAGCGATCGTAATAGCAAACAATCACCTTAAAGATGGAGAATGGCAAAAACTCTTTTTTAATCTTAGGCCCATCAGTAGTCTTTGAAAATACTGACTATAAAGCTTTAATAAGTTACTTTTATCTTACTCTGATAAGATAGTTCTGTTTCATGAATTTTATTCCTTGTTTTATTAAATATGCTGGTGCAGCACTTCTACTTCCCCAATTTCCTATAGAAGAAAAGCACAAAGCAACTAAGGTTAGAGCTAGACAAGACAATACAAAGGATTACTGTTTCTGTCACAGCAGAATCAAGCCAACTCAGCAACATGGGATAACATGAAAAACCTAAAATTTTAGTTCCCTAAATTCAGATTAGATATTCACAGAACAAGCCAGTTTAAGAAAAGCATTGAGCACTCAGAAATCTCCCTGAAGTACACCAAAGGTACTCAAGTCCTGCAGAAAATAAATGTAAAGAGAAATCAAGACAGCCAAAATTTAAAATTGCAATACAATGTCCAAATGGCTTTCTTTTTTTCAATGAATGCAGATATCTCAAAGGAGGAAATGCACCATTCAAGTAACTGTACAAAAAAGGCATAGTATAAGGAAAAGTATTTATCGCTTTGCTATACATAGGCTTTATGCTTTACATCTTTCCACCTGTGCACAAACACGTTTCATTGACTAGCAGAACCACGAGCAATTAGTATTGCTTTTTAATGGTGTTTAAGAGAGATTTTCATGTCAAAATTCATTAGACCCCAAGATCTTAATTTACAGGAACTGATAATGACAGTTTTCAATAAACTGCTATTAGCGCAAGATAACGCACTCACAGTATCTGCAACAAAAAAGAGAGACGTAAACACACCTATAGAAAAAACAGGACCACCACCGAATAAATTGGTTTTGCCAGTAATTGCCTTATGGGCACATTTTAAGTCAACTTGGAAGCTGACAGCAGTAAATTTTATTGTGATAATTGAATGCTATATTATCTCCTGTAAGGATAAAGTGTAGACATGGGGGTGAAAGGGAGGAGGGGATGGAAGAGAAAAGATTTTTTTTTTTAAATATTTTTTTTTTAAAATATAAAGACCATGCCAAAGAAAATGCAAATTCCCAGTTTTGATGTCTATTTTGAGGATCTGAAACAAGTCTTTTAATCAATGTATTATACATCAAATTGATAATGTTAACTTCTGATTATTCAAATGTATGAAATATTCATAGAGAACTGTCCAAACTTTTACATTTCTCAGACTTCTTTTCTCTATTAATTATCATGCCTGGAAGCTTTTTAGTAAAAGCAGCAGCCATCAGCCTGACTGAACCTGACAAGCTAGCAAGGCCCAATTACACTGGCACTCTGTGGCACTTTGATGTACTGGGAACGAAAAGAGATAGGGGCAAATTGTATAGCACATTATGTTAATGACTTGATTTAATCCAGCCACTAAACTTTATGTAGCCTGTTAAAAAAGATGCTAACACTAATTACGCCACTTTGGAAAGGAAAGAAGGGGACAAGCATTTCATACCGACAAAGTGAAGCTCATAAATGTTGTAAATGAAATGAAACAAAATGAAGTAATCTATGATTAATTATACATCATAGACAAGAAGAAAAGAGAAAGAAGCAAGTGGTACAGCTAAGTAGTGGAAAATCTCTTAGATATCCTTCATGATGAACATATCTAAGAAATAACCATGAACTGTCTAATTTGCAACATGCAAAAAAGAAACAGCATGATCTTAAATGGCTTAAACAGTTTGGCATACAACTCAGATTTATAGGATAATTAGCATAACGATCTCTAAAAATCACAAGTCTTATTTACAGTGTTTGATTACCAGCAGGATATTTATCTCAAAAGATAAAAGGCAGTGATTTTTAATCATAAAAAAACCAAATTCAATCACAATTTTCACATGCTGTATTCTATAATTAACCCAAGATTTCAAATATACCAATGCCTATTTTTAAAAATCCAATTTGTATCAAATATGTTGCCTTAATAGTTTATAGCTTTTGTTGTCTTATCTACCCTTCTTGAACATGCACTTTGTTACCAGAGGAACAGATCAATGGAGAGAGGTAGAAATTAATGAACCTGAAATGAATCAACACTCAAAATCCTCTCGGAAGCGTTCTTAAATAATTTTGATAAAATAAAATACAGGATGACTAGAAATGTATAGATCAACTGTATTATAGTTTGACTTAATGGTGATGAGTAGCAGTCATTTTAGTTCTCAAAATTACAGGTGAAACAATTTTTTTAACGTTTTGCATATAAACAATGCAATTCTGTCTCCAAAAGTACCTTCTCTATCTTTCTGCAGCATATATAAGTGATAACATTTCTAAATCTCTTCTACAACTTAAAAAAAAAAAAAGGAGCAATATTTCTCATACGAAGCATTGCTTCTTATTGCTAGTTACTTTGTAAGATGTCACTCAGCCTTGAAAAAAGGATTAAAAAAAAAAAAATCAAACTACCTCTAGGTTATCATGTTGCAGAACATTAAAAAAAGTTAAGACTGATAGGATATAACAGCACACCCTTGGTCCTTTAAAAGAAGGTTAAGACAGACCAGAGAAGTATTAACTATTACAAGTATCATAATCAATTTTAAGTGCTATTTTTATATTTTTTAAGATTGTTCAGTCAATGTTAGATCTAAAAGTATGAAATACTCTTTATTTTTTGAGAAAACTATACTATTGAAATACTGTTCAAAGTAAATTTTTCAAATTTGTATTATGCTGTGTTATTTTGTATATATGACTTTATACTCATTAATTGCTGGTTTTAAGAACAAGTCAAGAGAATATCATTACTGTACATGACCACAAATAAGAATAGAAAAAGTACACTGAGTGATTGGATACTGTACATCTACAAACTTTATTGAAAACTGATGTTCAGTTCTAAAACTGTTGGGAAATCAGGAACAAAAAGAAGTCTATGCGGATGTCTCAGAAAATACATGCAAGGTTTGCATGTTATTAACAACCTCAAGCTTATGCAATTGCCATTTCAACAACATTCAATCAAGTCAAGATACTGGGATGAAACACAGTGGGTAGCTAAGCATTGTAGATTTACTACAGGCCTTGACAAGTGAAATTATCCTCCCCTTCCTCAGAAAGCACTGGAAGAAGCAGAAAAGCACATTTTCCCACATAAAGGCAACAGGTAGGCTGAACAACAAGACTAAGTTCTTTAGACATTCACATTACAATAGTTATCTTTCGTTAGGGAGATTTTGTGCAGGACTAAAATTTGAATTCAGATTGAAACTAATTAGAAATGTCTACTTCTAAGTGTGTATGACAATAATGGAAAAGATGACAACAAATTTCCCCATTAAAAAAAACACCTGTAAATCACATGCACAATACGGTCAGGTTAACTTTTTTTTTTTTTCTGTGAAAAGGTGTCTATTTGAACTGGAAAGAGGAAAACATACATTTGTTGAAAATGCCTTAGAATCTGACCTTAAATATAGCAAAGCTACTTTTAGAAGACAATAGGCTTAAAATATTTTTCTTAGACTCGCCAAATAATTGCCATAAATACTATGACTCACCTGTTTAATATTCTTGGATACTGGACTTGAAACAATACAGTCATCGCTGTCAGTTGTTATTGATTCAATGGCATCATTTTCTTGTCCATCATCTTGATCTGGAAAAAAAAAAAAAGAAAAAAAAGAAAGAAAAAAATCAATGTAGTTAAAAACCCCGGTATTTGTAGTCCATCTGAGACTTGCTGAGAAACCTGATAGCAATGCATTTCCTTTTCTAATAAATAAAGTATAAGTGCCAGGTAAATCTCTCTTCCTTGCAGAAGATGAACACTGGCAAATCAATGACCTTTAAAGTAATCTAAACTGTATTTTTTTCCGATTTGCTAAAAAAATAGTAATGTTTCCCAGATGAAAGTTGATGAGTGGAATGATATAGGTCCTGTGATGAACTAAAGTATGAACAACAGTTAGCTTTATATAAGAATATGGCCTGAATTTGTGGATTTCCTTTGACTATATTTAACACAATGCACATGTAAAGAAGAATGTACTTTTTAAAAAAAAAATAAATAGTTCTGTATACAGGTGGACTATTTTCTAAAGCATTCAGGTCTTTTTTTCTCTGGAGCAAGTTACTTATAAACACAACAGGGATTCAACATCATGTTTTTCCAATTTTTCTAATGAATTCTTATGCAGAAGCTGCCAACAACTGAATATAAAATTTTAGCATCCTGCTTGTGCTTTTACTTCAAACTTGGTATCATGGACTTGGTTTATTTCAATGATAAACAGTTCAGGCTTGGAGGTGGAACAGGATGACCCGGCTTTTACAATCTTGAAATAAATCTGCCTCTAACAACTTTATGTCACAGATGTGATAAGACGTACTACCCCTCTCACTGTCTGAAAGGATTTCCGATATCAGCATTGGCTGTTATCTAAAGACAAAAGGAGTATATTCATTAAAATAGTCTTTAGAACAGCATAGTTCTAAGGGAGAATATAAAGACACTTAAAATAGAAGCCAGGTTTCCTTTAATATTTTATGAATCTAGGTCAGATACCAGATTTTTGCATTCAATTACAATACAGTTTCCATTTGGGAAGAAAATAACACCACCATATCCACCACCCAGCTTCAGCTGTAAAGTACACCAGAATATCATTTCTGTCATGAAGCTTCTCATAATAAGGCAGCTCCCACTGCTGGTAAGAAATGCTTAAGAAAACGGAAAAAGACATAGATTTATTATTAAGAAAATAGTTACTTATTCATAAAAATGAATTCTACCTTCTGGTTCCAATTCTTCAGTTATTTCTGTATCATCTCCAGAGGTAACTGAGCTTTGGTCGGCCAACTGCCCCTCTGACAGATGTGAGAGGTCTTCCTTTTCCTGTTGAATTTCTTCAGCCATCTCCTTCACCTTATCATCTGCTAGCCTTTCTTGTTTAACCTCATGTACTACATGCTATATAAAAATAGATAAACTTACAGTCTTTATAACACTCCTTGAATAATAAAAGTTACTGAAGTTCAAAACTTGAAGAGTTATGGCTCACATTCATTATACATAGCCTTTAAACAATTATATTGCTTATGCAGTGCAGGAAACAACGAGAAGTTGTCAACTGCAGTAACAAATAATTGATACAGTAAGACAATTCTCTAACAATGTATATTTGTGAAAACATAACTATTATAATAATTTGGTACCTGTCAAGATATATACAGCCTGTTAGATTTCCAGATTCATTTATATTTCAATTCTTTCAGTTCTAAAAGACTCAGTTTAAAAAAACCCAAAACAAACCACAACAAACAAAAACAGACAAACAAAATGCCACCACCACCTTACTCAGTTGGCAATTTTCTAACTTAAATTATACAATATTTTCTGTTTCAAAAGCAAACTAAAATCATATAAAAAAGAATCGGCTTTGCTACAAAATACAAACATGTTATCTAAAGTAAAATATCTTTAGTGCATAACTTACTCTGAAGTAATCTTATTCCCTTCTTTCTCTTTAAGTACAATTACATAGAATAATACCTCATCAATGGATATAACATTACAGACATGTCATCTTCCATGGAAATTTGCTGGAGACCTATGCATTATTTATCATCCAACAATTCTCCGCTAGGACTGAATTTTCCACAGAGGCACTGATGCTTCACCTCCCACCCTCAGAGTCCATGAGATAACTTTCAGCTGGCCACAGAATATCTGGGTTTTCCAAAACTGGACCTGAAGAGTTATTTCTGTTCTAACACATTTGGAGCCACACAAAGCAAAGCAGTGTTAACAAACACTTAAGAGCCTTATTCTATAAATAAAGGTTATCCTTGAAGTTTTCAAGTCGTAGAAAACTGGCTTTATGTCTCCTATGCTCCTCCTTGGCATAGATGATGTGTCATAACCGCTGTACTTTAGACAACGTTTGGCCAGTCTTTTTAATTCCTTCAATGACAGAGTTACATTTTGTGGATAAAATTTTCAGAGAGGGAATACTTTTTGATTATTCTACTTGACCAATACCACCTGATGTGGTGGAAGGGAGACTTAAGTTCTCAATCGAAGCCACAGATGAGCTTTAAACTAGAAAAGTGAAAAGAATATAAGAGCCAGTGATTAAATGGTGGGTTACACCACTAAAAGTACAGTTTGCCAATCTGCCACAGCTTACTTTCACAACCAATTGGACCATTACAAATTACAATATTTAACACTTTTCTTCTCCTTGGAATGCTACATATTTAGCAATATTCCAAACTTACTCCATTTCTTCTTCATTTCCCCCCACTATATAGTGGTAATTTTTAGAGGGAAGACAAAATAAACTTCATCCGAACATAGAAGGAAATAAGTAGAGATATTCCTCCCTTTCTAATGGCCAAAAAAAGATTGTCATCACAACAAATCACTTTTTTCATATTTCAGAGAAGTTTTTGAGATCTTACTTTACCGTAGTTTGATTTTTGATGCATGACTCTGAAGAAATAACATACACATGGAACTCAAATGCAATATATTATATAAATCCACAAAACCTGAATAATCTCCTACCTCTGAAACACTTGGAACTCTTGAAGCCTTCATCTTCTGTGCAAGTTCCATGTTATTTTCAACAACAGAGCCCTAAGTTATGGGTAAAATAAGGGGAAGCCTTTAACATATAGTAGATAATTAACACAAAAAGGTAGGTATAAATTTACTGGTGGAGAAGCATTTGGACAGGAAATTATGTCCTCCTTTGCTTCCCTGCATTAGCATTACTGCTTCTATCCTCTGCTATAGCTTCTACCTTTGAAGCTGGACAATTCTTACAAATGGTTTGGGCAACTCAAACCATTCATCCCACTTTTTAGTGAGTCTCCTTTTCTGAAAACAACCATTTACTTTGGCATGTGTCACATTAATATCTAAGAACTAGATTCTCTGCTATTCAGAAAATGAACAGGAAAATGAAACAGACTGTTCCTGTACAGTTTTAATCTGTTGAACTTCTAATTCTCTTGCATGGACACTCTCTTGCCATGTCACCACAAGATTGAGACATCAGAGAAGCCCCAGCTATTTCATTATTTAGTTCTAACAGTACTTTTGTCTCTAACCAGACAGTGAGACTTGGATTTTTAAAACACCCAGCAATGAAGACTTCTGATGGAGACAGAGTAGCTGTCTACCTTAGAAAAACCTAGTTTGTGAAAAATTGTTGAACTTTGAGACGTTACTGTTTGGACAGCTGAAGATATGTTGTGTCTGTAACAATATGGCTAACATTTCAGTTTGCCATACCTAAGCTCTCAAAAGATTTGATTTCACAAACATTTGACTTTTTTTTTTTTTTAAGTTAATAAATACAAGAGATCGACTTAATTCTTATTTCCAGCCTGTACTGTATGACTCAAAACAAAGTTTTAGTCATGGTAAACTAAATTATAGCAGAAGAACCTGTGAATTGAAAACTGATGTTAACATTTCAAAAAATAAATCCAATCAAGACATTTACAAATGGAAAAAAATGATCACAGCTAGTTTTTAATTAATTAATGAAACATAATATTATTAATAATAATATTTATACCTTTTATAATTAGCAGTTAAAGAACCTACCTTGACTTACTGGATTTAATTAAAAGAGTAAATACAGCCTATTCTTAGTTGTCTGAAGGCAGATTATTTAAGATCAAATGAAAATTTACACCATACAGCAGATATGTTTGAGTTAGTTCCAAGCAGACACTCCTAGAGTCTGGAAGTATGTACACGATAGTGCATCCCAAGTTCAGACGTGTAATTGTTTTCACAGTGTTTGTAATCTCAGCTGATAAAACTTGTTTGAGAGGTGGCTCTGAACTGTGTGAAATTGTGTATCTCATTAGCACAACACTCAGGATCTGTTTGGATCAAGCTGGTTTCTGTAGAGCCATTTATATGTCTGCGCAAGTGGTACACTGTACAAAGACACTTTAATTAATAACCCAGAGAGCTGAGAGAAATAGTGCAGAGACAGTTGATTGGTCCTGTTAGAATCTGCCCTAAGTCTATGAAAGTTGAAGCTTGTAAACTGTGGAGGATAGCAAGCAATTCTAAGGGAGTCACACAAATATATCTGTATTGTATCCCCCACCTATATGCAGTACTGTGCTACCATTCATTGCCTGGGACATCCCAGTCTTGTGCTGCTAAAATAATTGAGTGTTTTCCATTATTAGTTCTACAAATTGTCCACACTGAGACATAAGCAGCCTTTCTTGCTTCAACATGCACGAGCAAAATACTTAAAACTTACTGCCATTTGTATTGTACTAAGATCCAGAAAAGATACTTTCTTGTCTGCTTGAGCTGCACGCTGCCTTGGTTTGGGTGTTGGTTTCTGTAATAAAACAAATATAGCTGAAGACCATTTATCGCCATATTCTAACCATCTTATTTTACAGTAAATTTTGAGACACCCCAATTTTTCTCAAAGCCAAACTAACTGCACTAAATTCAATTCTAAACAGGCAAGATGACATAGATGTTGTTTGAATAAGCAATCCCCCTCCCTTCCCACGAAAAGGAGATACCTTTCAGAATTCAGCCACAAATAGGCATGAAACTGTACAGAACACCTATGGAATGCAATGTGAGTTCCAGGTGAAAAATATTTGTAGGACTGAAGTCAGTGGTATCATATATGTGGCAGAATGATTTCTTATTATCGTTTATGGAGTGCTTGATTTCTTTTCTTGTTCTGTAGGCTTACCGTATGACACCTTTCCTTATGCCACTCCCTTTGGAGAATTTTAACACAGAAACAGAAAAGAGACTGGTAATAGTTGCAAAATTAACAAAATTATCCAGAAATATTTCTGTCATGATGTTACAATACAAAAGACAAAAAATAATAAAGAAAAAGTGGTTTATTACTCTTCAAGCTTTACTCTCTTGATGAAGGTAGAAATTAACCTCCATCTCCACTGATTTTTATACACAAAAAAAATATCCTTACACTACTTTTAATTTATGTGAGTGATTTTTAAGAAGCTATTGGGTATCTTAGCACCATGCTCCAGGCACCAGAATAACAAAGAGTGTGGTGCAGATACACCTACGTACCCATACATATGGCTTGTGTCTGGCTGCTTGAAAATTCCTTTGGCTCAAAGCTACCCCAACTGACTGAGTTCTGTCTGAGTTTCTCAGACCACAGAAACAATAGCTGATTTCATGACTGTCATAAATGTCAACCCTTGCCCTGAAGTTGCACAAGCATGTGACTACATTTTATGTAGGACATCTACATTGGAAAGAGAATTAGCAAGTACTAAATTCATAGGGAGGACATTTAATGTTTGTTATTTCTCCTCCCTTTTCTCCCTGCCCTTTTGCTAACCAGTTATCTACCATTATAAAAGACTTTTTAAAATTTTGGACACAAGAAAGATTTCACTTCCCAAAGAAGTCAAAGATGGTGGTTATATGAAGTATTTGTACTATGCATTATTTTATAGTAAGGACAAATCCTGGTCATCAGGGAAGAACTAAACAACCTACTGTAATAGGTCTTTTATATCTCAACTTCTGTGAGTTTGTTAAATTACTTACTGTCACTGATGAAGTAAAAGAAGGAGACAGGGCTGGAGTCTGCGTTTTTTCCTCTGCTAGTAATTTAGTTGCCATTGACTTCTCATTTTGAGTGTAATTCACTACGTGTGCCGCCATTGTTGATCCACTTGGTGGTAGGTAGACAAACTTCCATTTTAATTCAACTGTGATGGTACCAGTAGCGCGTCTTTCAGAATCTGTTAGTTCAAAAGTACCTGAAAGCAAAATGCAAATCTTGTCTAAATTATCTTATTCTATACATATACAAGAAATGATTTCTCATGTCGATTTTCTAATTTATTTTAAGTGTACATTAGTCAAAACTAGAAAAGGAAACTAATGAGAAAAAAAATAAAGCCATGCAGAGAAAGAAACCATGTTTTAAATTAGCATATCAGTCCTGAAAAAAAAAAGAAGTAGCAACGCCAGAAGGAAAGGAGGTGGGAGAAAGTATGTATATGCCAGGAAACATTTTTTATCATTAGAACATAAAAAAAGGACCAGTAAAAGAAGATATCAAATATTTCCAGGTTACTTTTGAACCAGAGGGAAACACAATTTTTTTTTTTCAAGAGTTATTTCAAGACACCTACTATTTTTGTATCATAGATATCTTGTCAGTTATGAAAGCAGTAGATTTTGAAAGTCAGGTTTCAGCCACCCCTTCCCACCTGATGTTAAGACTAACAGGGCCTTTCTACCTAATAATGAAAGATACTTATAATATAGTAGTGTGAGAAATATAACTGGTAAATTTGGTAGGCTTCTCAAGGCAAAAAACAGTGGTAAAAGACAGATGCAAACAGATTACTAAAATGCTAACAAAAAAGCAACATCAATAACTGATTAGCAATTAAATTTAGTCAGTGCTAGAGTGACACATCATTCCAATTATAATTATTTATCAATTTGTAATTATTCCATACCTGGGCCAGTATAGAGAACAAAAGAGGATTTAAAAGACTTTTCGTCCTTGTTAGGACCACAATAAATGAATATTTGGACACCAGGTTCCTTTGTTCTAATTTTTTTTTTTTTTAACTTGTGGATTTTAAAGAAAATATTTACTTCTTTCTCTTAAATCTCAGAAAATGTCACGAGGGGAAAAAAATCGTATTATTGTAATCCACCCTGGAAGGTACAGGCATCCTGTTCAGATTCATTGCAGTTAATGGATAATCACAAAAACAAACACCACTTTAAAATTTGAGTTAAAATGCAACAATACCGGAACATTCTAAGAGTACTGTCTTAGTAAACAAAAGAGATATTAAAAACTTTTTATCTCCCTTGATCTTTTCTTTCTTTAATGTTTGAAATTTAATGTTGATATTAAAAAAATAATAATTCATCAGTTTCAAAGGTCTGTCACAGACTTTTCACTAGCCATGACTTAAGTAACATTGAGATGCAAAATCTCTTTCCAGGATTTCATTGGAGTTTAAAATTCTGTCAGACAAGAACAGTAGATGAATGATACAGGTTTTTAGAATCATAGAATCATTTAGGTTGGAAAAGACCTTTAAGATCATCCAGTCCAACCATAAACCTAACACTGCCAAGTCCACCACTAAACCATGTCCTCAAGCGCCATATCTACACATCTTTTATATACCTTCAGGGATGGTGACTCAACCACTTCCCTGGGCAGCCTGTTCCAATGCTTGACAACCCTTTCGGTGAATAAATTTTTCCCAATATCCAATCTAAACCTCCCCAGCGCAACTTGAGGCCATTTCCTCTTGTCCTATCGCTAGTTACTTGGGAGAAGAGACTGACCCCCACCTCGCTACAACCTCCTTTCAGGTAGTTGTAGAGAGCGAGAAGGTCTCCCCTCAGCCTCCTCTTCTCCAGGCTAAACAACCCCAGTTCCCTCAGCTGCTCCTCATCAGACTT